AAGCTTACTCAAGGAAACAACTATATGAATTATGAAGGCCCATTATTGCGCGTGCGAAATATGTATATAGAGAAAATTAGAGCTGACGGTCGTGTCATGATTGATATTCAAAGTTTTTCAACTATGAATCCCGATTATCCAATGGACGATGACAAACCGCCAAATAAATGTGATATTAAAATGTTTAAAGAAAAGGACACTTATCTCAAAACTGATGACCTTGATAAAGATGAAAGCCATTTCCTCGCTCCTGCTGTAGTATATGGATTTAGTTTTACTATAAAGGAATGGGGCTTGTTCGAAGTCTCCAAATTTTCGGATATTATTTTTGATTCTGATGCTCTAGATCATATTGTAATGCCTCAAAATAAGAAAAATATGCTTGAAGGGTTAGTGAGTCAATATCGTGATCCAGCCCATACAATTAACGGACTTGTAAATGGTGTAAATGGTGTAAATGGTATAAAAATGCCAGAGAAATCTTTAGATCCCATTACCAATAAGGGTAATGGATGCATTTTCTTATGCTATGGTCCACCTGGTACCGGAAAAACTTTGACGGCTCAAAGTGTAGCCGAGTATCTAAAACTACCATTATGGATACTTACAGTACGTGAACTTGGATCAACTCCTGAATTGTATGTATTATTTTACTTTAATCATTATAAAAAGTTTTGTTATACTTTATACTGTATTTAGTAATTTTACTAATATTGTCACCTTTATTCTTTTCTGTAATAGACTAGAAAGAGAGTTAGTCAAAGTTCTAGATATTGCTTATACATGGAAGGCTGTCATTTTACTCGATGAAGCCGATATTTACCTCGAAAAACGTAACACGATTGATCTTGTTCGTAATACAATGGTTGGAATATTTTTGCGTTTGCTGGAGTATTATCAAGGTATTTAAATTTATTCTTATCAACTTAGTATTTATTATTTATATAATTAAGAAAATTTACTAATTTTATCCCTATTTTTGTCTTTTAGGTGTCATTTTCTTGACAACAAATCGGGTTATAAGCTTTGATGATGCGGTATGTTCGCGAGTTAACATGTTTCTCCATTACCCCAAACTCGATCTAAATGGAAGACGCCAAATTTGGTCGAAATTTATCAAGCGTGCCGATCTGCCTCTCAATGCTGATGATTTTGCTGATTACGATTTGAATGGTCGTGAGATCCGTAATGTTCTTCACGCTGCACGATTGTTGGCTAAGAATAAAGGTAAAACGTTGTCTGCAGAAAACGTAATTGATGTTATAAGCATTGTTCAAGAATTTAAGCAAGAAACTAGTGAAATGAGTGAAGATTGATTATTGAGATAATTACAATCTTAATTACGTTTGTAATAAATTTAAATTTGGACATTATTTAGTTTCATTCCGTCCATTATTATTATTAAATTATCGTGTCCTGTAAAAATCATTTCATTCACATGATATATATATTAAAACGTGGACTTTTCTTGATCGTGATAGCAATTTAGTCTTTCACTTTAAAATTATTATTGAATATTTGAATGAAATAATAATTCACCATTCTTTTTATTATAATAATAAAATTAATGGTGTGCATTAATTATGTATCCTCAGGTTCATTTTTACCGATCATTTGTGTATCCTCCAGTTCATTTTTACGTAAATATATCGCTATGCAATAGTCAATGGCTTTATCTACACACGTACCCATTTAGATTATTTGAATGATCTAATTTGGATCCAAGCTCTAAATTATATCTTCATCTAATAATAATTGACGCACCTGACGCAGAAACTGGCTTATGCTAAAATTTAGTCTCTTTTAAAATATCAACCTGCTAAAGTCTACATATGTATACTCTTTTATTAATAACAAATCTATCCTGAATTTCAAAAAAAAAAAAGGCTAAAAATCAATAATGTTTAAATAAGTCTAGATTCCAACATTTGTCAATTTCAGCATCATCCAATTTTAGTATCAGCAACCCTAGGTAGCGAAGCTGCCTACCTGGCATCTACTAGTTACTGTAATAACAAAATACTATATTAAGATTCATAACATTTAATTAAAATGAAATTTGGGTTTCTATTTGAATACCCAAACTATTTTTTATTATTTATGAGTTTTCATGGTTTATCTGTTTTTTTCTCAAATTTTCAGCTCAATCGATTAATTACTGTAAATTTATTTTGCATTGATTATATTCTGATGTCGCTTCTCTTGTTTTCATTTGTTGTAGTCACTTCTTACAGTTGTTTCACATTTAATTTTATAGTTACAACCAAATGTAAAAGTGAAGCTGTTCCAGAACCAGTATAGTTGGGATAAGAGTTGCAAAAACAACTAACAATTAGCATTACTTAATACATACTGTGCTAGATCTAATAATGAAAGGTTTCGATGGAAGCGTTAAGAGACTTGGCCCTAATTAGAATCAATAGAGTTCTAGATTAAGTTGAAAGTTCTAAAACAATGAGTTAGTCGCTCCACGGAATCATCAACTCAAAAGGTTTAGATCGAAATAAGCCGTGTTATATTTTTAGTGAGTGGCGTGCGGAGTTTCGGAGTAATCATTCTTTAAGACTTTCAAATAAACGAATTTAATCTATAATCATGACAACCCTTAATATATTGGGTTTGTTGAAATAATATGGTGGGATTTTAATAGTAACGGTTTAGTTTTTTACATTTAACAGTAATTCTCTACAGTCACTCGTAGAGAATCCTATATGGTGGCAAAATCCACCTTTGCTTGGTACTTTATAAGAAATAAAACCATTTACATTTTGACGACATTAGTGTCGATATCATTAATATAACCTATGCATCCTATCCTACTGATGCTTTCTAAAAGATACATCCTTTTGATCGCTCATTTTAATCGCATTTTATATTTTTACATGTAATGAATTAACTCTTGAGCTTTTATTGATACTTTGGGGTTATCATCGTCAATTTCGTCAAATGGTTTTTTATTTGGAAGGATAT